ATATGGTTGCAGCACCGCTTCTCAAATGAAAATCTTACCATTGGCCAAAGAGCTTTAAATGCAATCGAGCAACCCGATACTTTTGATGGTAGATGAAGCGCCTTCTCCTGTCACGTAAAAGCTCATTTAAGAAGTAGAGGGATGTGCTCTTAAAGTGTTTTAAGTTTCTAAACCACCAAAAGATTAAAACAACTGTTTTGGCATGCAGATACCGTTTCAACAAATTCATTGAGACTGCTATTGTCATACTTACAACCATAAGGTCACTTTAATCTGTGCCATTGTGACACCTACAAAAGATTTCCGGTTTGCTGTCGACATGCTAAGATTATTGGTGGATTAAACACTTGTAAGTGAAGGTAGAAATTCACAGAGTGCAGCAGCCCAGAACGAATTTGCTGAAGCCGTCAACCATCCCTGGGATCAAATAGCAAAGGACATCGCGCTGATGAGAGCCTGCTAAGATGAAAGGTAGCCTCGTTGTTTCACGCACGGAGCACTTGTAACGACTGGAAATATAGAGGAATTTTGTCTAGGGGAAATCTATCCAATAGTAGTCATTTTAAGTAAAGTGCTCTACTCGAGAGTTTTTCAAAGTGTTTATTCTCACTTCCGGTTCTTTCTATTTGCCACTGTTTTGACACCATCACCCCAATCGTAAATCCAGAAATGCAAGCATCAATAAACAAGTGCAGAGCCACTTTTGCCCCATTGCAGAAAAGAGGAGGGCGTTTGGGTCAACAATAATTTTATATGGGGTCGAACTTATGTAAAGCACAATGAACAGAGAGCTTCAGGTGAGCGGAACGATATGCAACCTACAGAAGAGCAAAGTAACACCCTTTTAACGTAACAGTTGCAGATACGATAAAAGTGCACAGGTGTTCAACGAAGGTAGGAGGGAGAGGGGAGGGGAACAAAGAGTCTGACCTGGACTAGGTCTAGTAACCACTACTGCCTGCTTGTGAGTCAGATCACTTGAGGACAAAAATCAGGGAGGAAGGAAGGTGAACTATAACTTACCCTAGACTTTTGGTCCCCTCTGGTTTGTACAGAATCACGTGATGTGTCGATGTGGTTTCACCACACTGCCTTAGCAACGTAATCGGAATTCCTCCCTTGATACAAGAGAGAGGTGACATATAAACTGAAGGTAATGAAGACCCAAAATTTGATAAGAGTTTATCACGTCCAAGTCAGCTTTGTAATCAGAATTGACCCACGAGATGTTAGCCACTAGATTTTAATTACTTCCGTCAAAAAGCGTTCTATCATGTTCACATCGCTTTTCACCGCACAATTTTGTTTCAAATGATTCAACAACATAAATCCTTTCATCCTTTCCCGTCCAGTCCACCTGTGTCGTGCTTTAAACCTCTGGTCTGTTTCAATTCTAAAGTAATCTCGCCTTGACAGCAATACTTCCCCATCGACACAACGCGTTTTGAAACAAAATGTCACAGATTTTTCACTTATTGACGCGGAAAGTTATATCTCCAAGACAATCACACCCGGTGGCCTTTCATGGTGCTCAAGGAACAATATCAAATTCTACACAATACCGATCCGCCAATGGCTTCACCTACCAGTCAATCAGCCTACAATATTTTCACATCGAGGGCAGGGATCAGAGGATCATGACTGAAGATTCAGGTGTAACTACCTTAGGTTGGGTGAATTTGACCATCTCCAAGATGGCCTGAAGACCGGTGAAGTTGGAGGCGAGGATGGAGCCAAAGCGGGTTACTCGATCATCGACACATATGCCCTGGAGAGGAGGGAAACAGACAACGGGCATTCAATGAACGGTTTGCCAAGTCAGGCTGACTCGACAGTTTAGAGCACAGAAAAGCACAACTCGATGCTTCAAGCTCGCGTACGACCTTTGCAACAAGATAAGAAGATTGCTGTGTCTTCTCACCTCGTTTTAACTATCACCTCGTGTAGACATCACAAGAATTCAATTTTGTGGATTACTGAGAGACGTTACTGGTCTTTGAAAAAACAGCGTGTAGGTGAAACGTATTTTCAGATTAAACTTAGTTGCAAATAGCAACATGGGGAGAGGCGATTAGTGGTAGAAGCTGTCACTACTGAAACCACTGATGTATAAATACTTTAATTTGTTGAAATAATCATAGTCTCAAAGCACAATAATCGTCTTCTAGCGAAATACATATTTGCAGAAAATACCATTGCAATTTTTAAACTATTTTGTTTCTAAAAGCAGGACAATCTAGTCTTGGCCACTGCCCAAACGTCTATTCTGTTCGACATGTGATTGTCTATTGGTGGGAAAGCGGCAAGGACACTTTGGTCACTTGATAGCCCCGACACCTGGTTTTGTTTGCAAGTACAAATTCAACACCACCTTTGAGATATTTCCTCTAGGTCAACAAAGGGCTTCTAAGAGCATGTCAAACTCATTTTCAGGCCTATACAACAAATGAGATAAAGTTGATCGTAGTGTGGGAAGGGGCGGGAACGATTAGTTGG